TCTTTAATTCTACACACCTTAGGGTGTGTACTAAGGTCTCTCCTTCTTAATGGGCCCTGCAATCCAAATTTTGCCTCATACATATGTGTATATATATATATGTGAAGTACCTCTGCTTTGACTTTCTGTTGTTTCCCTTTTTTTTAATTTTTCCTCTCTAAGCAGTGCAAGAATTTAGCTAATACTCAAGGCAGAAAGCCAGATGAATATCAGGCTCACTTCTCTTAAGTATCTTAGGTTTTCCAGGTGCTGGTTGGTTTGATGATCCTAAATATTTTTGTCTCTCCAGACTTATTTAGTCGTCATAGTCTCTTTACTTTTCTGATTTCTAGTAGTAACTTTGTTCCTGAACTTTCCATTCAGATTGTGTCAAAAAACTGGCAAATTCCATAAAGAATAAGTAGCTGCAGGTGTTTTTCACTTCTCTGGTTACCTTCTGTGGTGAGAGTCCCCAAGACAACCCTCAAGTTCAGTAATTCAGGAGGGCTACATGACTCAGCATACAGTCATATTCATGGGTATAATTTATAACAGCAAAACAATAGGTGCAAAATCAGCAAAGGGAAAATATGCATAGAATGAATTTAGAGAATACTTTCTCCAATGGAATCAAACCAGATGTGCTTAATTCTTTCAGGATTGATGTGCGACATAAGTGAAATACGTGGCCTTAGAGATTTACTGCACAGGGTTTGTATTGGGAACAGGTCATACAGGCACCTTATGGTTAGCATACTGCTTGTATCAACAGTTAACACCTAGTAGCCTACTTTATCAGTTTGGGAATAGGGGGAATATTGCTGTAAACGAAGTTGCCAGATGTTGGACAAAGACCAAGCTTGCAGCAGGACTTTCCCAGGATAGTGTCTCAGGCCAGCTATGTTAGCTCTTTTCTGCAAGTTCTCCCTGGGATTCTGGCTTCTATTTGATTAAAACTTCTATGGCTTCAGTGATTTTAAACAATTTTATCCAATGTCACTAGTTCTCAATGTGTTGCTCTGCTGTAGAAGCACCTGGTTATTTTTCTTCTCTGCTAGACATTAATTTGAAAAAAATTATAACATTTGAAACTTAAGATAATGGATTTTCTGTTCTTCTATGGGATATTCATTACCAGACATCTAAGCGATCACTTTATCTCAATTTTGGAAACCTGGGTGATTTGAGACTGTGTTGAATTCCTGGTATATGATGTGCAGAGCGGGGGGGATGTACCTTTAATTTGCTCTTATTTCCATGGTATAGCTTTTGTGGGTCTCAAACCCAAGACTTGGAGCTTTCCAAGACTGACCCATAACTTGGCAGACACTAGTATCCAATTTTTCTCCTTCCAGTATCTTGGAAGTAGTAAAAAAGTACTGCTTATCCCCTTAAAGATTTCTTTTAGAATTAGCCAATCCATCCAGGTAAAAAGTGACCCAAATACTGAAATTGTCTCTTTAGAAGATCATATTTTTAAAAAATTTCATACAGATTACTTAGTTGTCCATAGAATTTTCATGTTAATTACCTATTCTGCCATTACTGGAAGTAGTATTTCCTTTCTACTTTACTTCTTACACTGTAAAAGAAGTTGCTTAGATGTAATGTTTTGATAATGAATAGGGCGCTTAGCATGTACACAGAAGCATGGCATACAGGAAAGGCAAATATAAACCTAGATTCAAAGTGTCTATTCCATGAGGACAAAAGCTGCCTCTCCATGAGAAAAGAGATTTGGTACTTAGTGAGTATTTAGTCACTCTAGGGCATGATATCAAGCATTGGTCACTGCTCCTGGTAGATTGGTTTTTTAGTTGTAACAGTAATCAGGCTAGTCCTGAAAAAAAAATTCCCATATTGTTGAAATCTATGAATAGCATTTTGGCTGAAAGAAGAGAGAAAAATCATTAAGATAAATGCACTTTGCAAGCTTTCATTAGGTAATAATGGATACAAAAGTAAAATAAACTTGCAGTTTCTATTTTAAAAAGCCAGTTAGGCAAGAAGTGAGAATTTGTAGTGTTGAAGTTATATCTTTCCTACTTTATTTTCTGATTAAGCTAGATATTACTCATGTGCAAAAATAAGAAAGAAATTTCAAACACCAGCCCAGAAAAGTCTTCCTATCATTCATTACTCCAAGTAAAAAGAAACAAGATGTATCATAATTTACTTTTTAAAGAATCTTTATGCAGGGCCTCCCCAGTGGCGCAGTGGTTGAGCTCTGGGTTGCAAAGCTGCCCACAGCCTCTGCAGCACCGGTTTGATCCCTGGTCACCAGGTGAGGGTCCCACATGGTGCGCAGACTCTCCTGCCGCCCGCTGCACCCCTCAGCAGTGTATTTCATCAGTCTGTCTGCTCTGCTCCCTGCTCTGCCTCTGGTGAATTCTCTTACCCTCCCGTGCTTCTGACTGTACCCAGTGCTTGTATAAATAAATAAATAAATAAATAAATAAATAAATCTTTTTTTTTAAAAAAGAATCTTTATGCAGCTACAGCTTGAAGAATCAAAGCAGTGAAGTTATACGTGCTTCAGCTTCATTTCTTTCAGATATACATTAGAAAATCAAACAAGTTTGGGAGACTTCTGAATGACAAAAAAGCACTCCAGTATCTTTTATATTGCCACCCATTTCCTGATTGGATTCTATTTTGTAAAACAAATCTTTTTTTCTCTATCATGCATTAGGTATTTAACATCCATAGAGTACTGGATTTCTGAGAGGGACAGATTAGTAAAACGATAATCATAGTACAATGTAATAAGGATTATGTCAGAACACCATGAATGTGAACCAAGTACACGGGGGTCAAGAAGCTCTAGAGGAAATCTTTGATGAACCCAAAAACTCACTAAAGATATATCAGTATGCTACATTTATAATTTTGGCTTACACTCTTTGAACAGGAAGAGACAAACAGACCTAAAGACATCAATGTCAATGCAGCTTAGGAAAGAATATGCCACACCTATGTTAACATAACTTAGTTATTTATTCCAGGAAACCTTGGCAAAACTATAAACAAAACAAAATCAATCTCTAATTTGTTGTTCACATAAGGAAATTCCTATAGGAGGGAAACAATACCAGCTTACCTGGGCAAGCACCTGTCTTATCAAATTACAGTTTACTTACCATGACTCTTGTTTGCTGTGTCTACCAATCCTAAATGATTTCATTAACCTTGCCAAATGCATTCAGTTCCCTGTCTTGACAGACCTATCTTTTGAGCACAGGTTCTAAAGTTCTACAAACACCTTATTTTCTAGTTCTGAGACACAGCTAAACATATCAAGGTGACTTTCTTATTGCAGTAAGTTTTAGTACTTATTTTTGTTTTATTAAGGGTCATCTGATGATATCAAAAAACATATGGATCTACATTTTTAAAAAATTAAGATTGATCTGCACTGTTTTTAACGGCTACATCATATTCTACTGTATGCATGTAATTCACCCATTCCTCCATTAAGGGTCATTGAGATTGCTTTTTTCTTTTTTGCTATTATAAGCATTGCTGCAATGAATACCTTGCATGCTTTTGTTTATACATTTGTACTAAAATTTCTGTAGAATAGAGAATTGACACAGAAGAGTAAGATTGCTAGGTCAGAAAATATGTGCACTTTAAAATTTGATAGATCCTGCTGGATTACCGACCAACTTAGTTGTACCAATTTACAGTCTTTGCCAAAGGCTTGAGACTAATGATTTACCCACACTTGTAACAATAGTAGGAATCTTTTTAATCTTTATCAGTTAGGTTAAAAAAAATCTTATTTTAATTTGCATTTTACCATGTTTTAGACAGCAGAAAAACCACTATTCAGTTTACCACTAAAACATAATTAACTAAAGTTCTACAAAATGTTAATTATTTTCGGAAAACCTTTAACTTAAAACTATAAAACAGATAGGATGGATGAAATTCAAATATATGTTCACTACTCAGTATTTACTTAGCATTTTCTTTTACCAAGTGTTATCAAAGTGAGAGTCATAAAACCTGTGTTCAAGGCCTACCTTTGCCACCCAGAAGCTACGTGACCTTGGACAAGTCTCCTGCCCTCTTGAGAGCTTCCATTTCCTCTTTTGTAAAATAAAGGCTAAATGAAATTATAATTTGAATGACAAAATTAGCTATTACTACTACAATTACAATGCAAGGAAATTACAGAATCACTAGAATTATTTATAAAATTCATTCTTAATAATTATAAAATACTTATATTGGTATTGTCAAAGTCAGATTCTATTAGGTGAGTCGATAATTTCTTGGGACTACTGAAGCCACTAGAAAAGTGCATACTTCATAGGGGTAACATCCTGCTCACTAAATCACTGCTTGGGTTCTCTACAAGTGCTCCCCCAATAATAGTTTAGGAAATGTTAGTTCTTACATGAAGTGGATTTATTCAAATATGTAATCAACTACATATCGGACACTTTTTAAAGTTTCTAAGAGGGTTTTGTTTCTAAGCACACACAGTAATGTAATTCAACTAACACCAGAGATTTCCTAGAGCCAAAAAATAAAATTCTAAAACTTTGCTGAACTAGAGATCCTATCTGGAGATCTTATCTTTGATTCTTTTCTGAAACTAATAGCAACCTACGCTCCCCATTCATTATATGTCTTAATACCACCCATGTACAAAATCCTATGCTAGGTACTAGGGGTATATAATCTCTGAAATCAAGAGCTAAAGACTCAAAGTTAAAAGGGCAAAGCATTGTTATCTAAGATTGCCTGTGCTTCTGGTATAACAATCTGGTATAACATCACCCATGGAGCTAATCTTCTATTGGATGTTCACTAATGGACCTGTCACACTTCTCATCATTAGGCCATGTAAAACATAAAGCCAGGAATGAGAAGTCATTGTCCTATAACTTACTCCCCAAAGCTCTCAATAGCTCAACTCACCTAAGTCTTCCTCCTTTACTTTCTTCCTCCACATCATGACTTTTGAAAATTTTTATGACGCATTTTTAATGAGTAAAATGATCTGGAAAAAACATTTTTTCAGTTTTTATTTCAATAAAACAAAGGGCAACACTGCTGTATAAAGTATTGCATATGGAGAACATTTACACAAATATACAAAACTTCAAAAAACTAAACTCCAGTTTATTTCCACAGCCTTAAAAATGTAGAGAACACATAAAAATATCCAAAGTCATAGTTTGTTCTTTAGGAATGTAAACTCTAGGAATTCAATTAGAATTAAGCATATTTACTATGATTAGTATCACTACATAATTAGAAGAGAAGAGATACACAATAAACTTCACATGAGAAAGGAACAGTATGTGAAACAGCATCTTGTGTGTACTAGTAGAATCTTCTTATCAAGACTGGTACTCTAGAACTCTACTATCAAAAAAAAAAAATTTCCAAAATGTTCACTGCTAGTCTCTCTAGACATGCACAAGTTACAAAACACAGAATAAAACAAATTTATGCTCACTGATGAAGAATTTAATAATATTAAACACTAATGTGACTAACTCAAAGTATTCAGTACACTTTTACAAAGAAACAAATCTAAAAGTACAATTTCATGCTAATTAAAGGAGTAGAGAGTTTTTTTCATCCAAAACCTGGGAAGATATTATGATACACTGATTTCTATCTACAGTGCTTAATTTAAGTACTCATCAAATTATCCTTCCTTTAAATGGTTTTTAAAAAAATAATTTTTCAGTAACATTATTTAATATATATATTTCCTTGATGTGCTTCCCTTTGATAAAGTATAGATTTATTGTTCCTAAAGATTCACGTTAAACAGCCATATTATAGATATTTGGTTAAAATTATGGTCTCAGAGCACATTTTTCTTTATAATTTAAGCTTTCACACATTAATTTTGTTGTTCCAAAATAGCCAAACTCCCTTAAAACTGGGATCATTTTTATCTATTTTGGTTTAAAATATATTTTTCTTTAACTCAACTTTTATTTTTAAATGAATAATGTTCATTGAGTAGTTGCTTCATTATTGAAATGAGCAATGAAAATTTCAAATCAATTTTGTCATTCATCACTTAAGAACTGAAAATTTCTACTTTCAAGTCTACAGAGCTGCCTTAAAACAGTTCCACAGTGGTGTACAGGGGATTTCAGTTTGCTCACTTGTCTAGTCTACTTTGTTTCTCACCCTACTTGTAATTTAAAAGGCAAATTCTGAGTCCCTGTTTCACTAGTAAACCCCAGGTAGTTGGTACTTCAAGAGTGAGAGGTTGGGTAATTACAAAAATCATTAGAGGTTTAAAATATGGAATGGATCTGCTCAGATCCTCTGGGTCATGGGGTACAAGGCCCAAAATTTGTACAGAATCATTCTTGTGATAAAAGCTATTATTCTAGATATACAAAAGATCAGTGACCAAATGGTCAATTCAACATTTTCATGGAAATTTGACTTACAAAAGTCATTCAAACTTTCAAATTTAGAAAGGTGAGTAGGAAGAGAGTAACAGGGATAATAACAATTGTTAACATAGCATAATCCAATATTTAAAATTGCTATAAATTTTTTTCAAATGTATAACCCTCATTTGAAATAGTATCAAAGGTCATATAAAAAGAATTTTACTGTCAACATAACTCCACACTCCAGAAAATTAACTGGTGCTTATTACTTGGAGCAAAAGTTCAGAACCACTCCACTGGTTCTGAGTAAACCTTCAGAGATTTTTAATAATTACACATGTAGTTTTTTTTGTGCATTCTATAAGAGGATGATAACCCGTTTATACTTAAAAGTAGGTATCTACTGCCCTGATGCATTATGATTATAATAAAATACAAAATGTTACATCTTTATTGTAAAAGTAGATGAGAATCATTAATATTTTTAAATTAGAGAACTTATGAGGCCAGGTGTTAATGTTATTAAAAATTAATTACCTGCAAAAAACAAAACTATATTGATCTAGTTAGCTAAAATATTTGATCTTGGGATGTGAGAGCACTGAGAACTCTAAATATGAGATAAGTGATTTGCTTTGCAGTTTGATACTCTCTTCTAAAACTTTAACATGTATAAAAATCACTTTAAGATCTTGTAAAAGTGCAGAGTCTATTTCACTTACCATAATCCTCAATAAAAAAAAAATAGAATCTAATTCAGTAGCTCCAGGATACTCTGCATTTTTAACAAGATGCCAGGTGATGCCAATGCTACTTGCTCGTCCTCAGACCACACAAATAGCAAAGATCTAGAGTAATACCAAAATGAGGTTCCATAATAGTGGCTGAATATTAAAATCTGATCTTTCTTTTGTTCCAGATAATGTTTCCTCAAAATAATTCTACAAGATTTCTTAATCACCTTAATTTGCTTAAAATGCCAGTCTTTTAAATTAGTTCTTAAGACTATTAACGCTGTTAGGAGCTGTGGAGAAATTCTTTTAAAAAATTACAAAAGAATCACATGAAATTCACAGTGGCATTTTACAATTATTTTAAACTGTACAGAGGATACCTATTAAGTAAAAACAATATCAATTTTCATTTTCTGTTTGCCTTAAGTGTTTGGATTTTTTTTTTTTACTAAATTTATGTCAATTAATCTTATATTTGTATTACTGAAAGTAAAATAATCAAATTAATATATGTTAAAAATTATATTCAGGGTTCATGAATGAAAACAGTTCAGACTTTTTGGAATATTTGATTTAAAAGGATAGCCAAAGTAGTTATGGTAAAAACTGCATTCATAGTCAAGTGCTTTGGCACTCTTCAAGACAAACAAACTTTTCATATACTTGACCTCTGCATAACCTGTACAAGAGGAAATTAGCAAATTCTGTGTGACCACAGCTAGGGACTAGGAATAAGAAAACCAATGTGTACAAATAATGAAAGAGAGCAGGGAGATGGTTCCCTAAGCCTTCCTCCCCAGTCAACTTACTCTCCTCCTCAGCCCTACATTCTCCCTTGTACGTTGGATTATTACTTAAGTATACTTAAAGTATACTTGATTTACCAGAAACCTCAATCATGGCTGAAATGACCACCAACAACAATCACCAAACTTTCACATCTATCTAGGTCACAGTTTCCTATAGCTACAGATTTTTTTTAAGCCAGATTGCCTTTTTTTATTTTTATTTTTTGGGTGGGGACAACTACATTGATTATTATTTCTATTATAATAATTTCTTTTGAAATAGACCTGTTCACAAAGAAACCCATTCATTCTTTTCATATTTTATAATTTCAAATTAAAGAACTTGAACATAAGTAACCAAAATTAGTTAATATATAAATGCCCTTTGTCCATATATCAAGTTTTTATTTTCTTTCATGACATTTTAAAGATGAAAAATTTACCTAATTTCCTTCATTTGCAGACAAACAATTCAATAGTACATAGTTGTTTCTGGCATCTTGAAAGTTATGTTGCAAGATTTACAGTGATTTCCAGGAAGTCTTCAATGACATGTGCTCTGAATTATAGGAATCCAGATTAACTAGGATTTTCGAAGTCCAGCAGCAGAATAAGTTAACTGTATGGCCTACTACATCTTAGGAAGTGAAAGAATTTTTACTTGCTAAATCCAGATCAAACACTTTGAAACAACAAACCTACTTGCAGTTTTTGATTTTTGATATAAAAATGTTCCAAAGTTAACATCCTCTACCCATCCCCTGAAATCATCAAACAGTCTAGCTACTGAGTTAACAGGCATTTTCCAGCACCTTATATACACTGTTTTAATCTTAAAGATGATCCGGCTACAAACATTATTAACAAGCACTTTTCATACACATCATTTTTGTTTTTTCCGCTAGCCTGTTTTTCAGACTGACTTGCTGAACAGCCAGCTTAGAATTCCTGGAATTGTACCTCTGCCTCATCCTTTAAAAAATAGTTCCCATACATGGAGATTCCCTTTTACAGATTCCCTGCTGTAGGGCAAACCTACAGCTACCAAAATAGGAGTTATTAAACACACACACACACACACAAACCCACCTCACAACCTCACATGAGATGTCACCAGTCTGATCAGGGAACCTGCCAAAATGTATTTTCACTCTGACAATCTTAGGGCAAGAGCAACAAATAAGAAAAAAAGACTCAAATCAAGGGAGAAAAAACAACCACGAAATAACAAAACATTATGTCAACTAACTGCAACCTAGAGATTACTCCCTTCATAAAGTCAACGTAGGCTTCAGAATTTAAGACACAGGGCTCCTGTCAGGAACAGGAATGCAAGACCCTGCACACTTTCATAAAGAAGCAAAGTCGTATTCCCGGATTCACCAGTTAGGTGAGAGAACTATTACAAATTAATCTGTGGACAGGGTAATGCTAATACTAGGAGGTCTCTGCTGACCTGATTGATGCTTCATTGGAAGTTCAGTCCTTTCAGAAACATAAATAAGCTTTTCTTCTTGGAGACTACAAGCGGAAAACCTGTTGGCATCTGTCCCAGTCCCACAGCCAATAGCAGGTGATGGGTTATGTGGGACTGTGACACCACTGACTTGTTCAAAGGATTTACTAAATACGGTTGCAGCGGTCTTAGCCAAACCATGGCTACTAGGCTTAGGAAGGGACTGGCTGGTTGTTAATGTAAGTCTCTTCAAAGAGAGAAGCTCAAGATTCTCACTTTGGGCTCTTTGGGTTTGTTTTCGACCAAAATGATCTTTGCAAAATTCCCCTGAAGTTTCTTTTTCTTTTCCTCCAATTTTGCTTCCTCCTGAACGTCTCTGAGTCTTTCCTACACTTGTCTTGTTACTAGAATTGTGACTACTGTTTGATAAACCAGACTGGCTGGTACTAGACGCAGCCCTGGAATAAAATCCCTCGTCAACTTCAGATATCTCCATCAGTTCTTCTTGACCTGTTAATTCTGCATTTCCTAAACAAAGAAATAACAAAGATGAATTAACATTATTTTAAGCAATTTTTTAGTGATTAATACCAAATCAGTTATACTTTAAGCAAATTAAACTTTAGCATAATTACATAAAGCAACAGATTACAGACCAAAATCAAAGTCTAAATCAAAACATTCTAAAATGCAAAAATAGTTCACTGTAATTAAATAGCATTAATTTTGAGTAAATTAAACAAAAAGCATGCCAACCACATCCCACTGTGTTTTTAGAAAGAGATCTCTACTATTCATGCAAAAGATCAGAAACAATTAGGAAAAGTACCACACAGTTAAACTAGGGATAACCTCTCCCCTAGTATAGCAAGCCAGTACAAAATCAAAACTCTTACCAAGGAACTTTAAAAAAAATAGCCACTAAAATACTTTAAAGGTTTTTAGAAGTTTGCATTTTACATTGTAGATTATTCTACTAAAATAAAAAAAATTATAGCTTGCAAGTTCAAACTTTTTATTCATATACATTAACCTTCATATCAAAGAAGACAAAAATACAGAAATGAAAAAATATATATTTGAGTTCCACGCATAAGCAGAAATTATTTTGGAAGTAATTTTCTGCCTCAGTTTTCATAACAATTTACTCAAAGACAATATAGGTATGACCATTCCAAAGAGCATTAAGAATCATCGAGAAATTCTGGTGCATAATTCATGCATTTTGATTATTAGATAACATGCAAAATTTTTGTGACTGTGTAACTGTTGCTTAAAACATGCAGCAGTGTCCCTTTGCCAGGAGATACCTTGGAGTGCGACTATATAGTGCTCTGCTAAAACTGCACTCTGCCAGGTGAGTTTATTCCATCCTCCATCATTTTTCTTACAGATTTTTGCCTCCTGATCTCTGGCAAGACTTTGCTCTCAGTTCTAGGATCTGTGGCTGTTTCCTGCACACCCTGTATATGCTGAGCATCAATATCGCCTAGTGTTCTGCCTTTTTCCCCATTCCCGGTTCTTTCTCCGGCCACATTTGTGACACTAATCTCAGGAATGACAAGGATGCCCAATTCAGTAGTATCATTATTGTTGTCAGGTTGCTCTAGAATTGAAGATGATAAGACAAAATGATGGCTGAAAACAAAACAAAATAAAAATGCAAAACAAGAAAAACAAAAGACCCAAACAAAAATTGGATGACTGGATGTTATGAACTAAGCCAAATATTTGCACTGTAAAAAGTTCCAAATTTACAATACTCTTACAGCTCTGGGAGACAACAGGGTCATATTTTAATTTTAAATGACAATGAAAAAACTCACAACGCATCAATTCATGTTCTGCATTTCTTCACATACATTTTGACATGGACGATGAGGCAGAAATTTTTTACAAAACAAAATAAATCTCCATTATTTTTAAGATAAGACTGTGACCATCTAAACTTATGTCAAGTCTTAGCCAAATGACCAAGGAAGTACAGCCAAAACTCTAGCTCTTAGCAACATGTGGAACCAAGTCACTTAGAAATTCCCCTGTACACACTTAAAATTGCATTTTTTTTAAATTAGATTACACTGAGAAAGACTTACTAAGTCATGATACTGGAAAAATGCTTATTCATTTATGATATCAAAGTTAGTAATACTACAGATAATGTTTTTGTCTCACACATCAATTGTCTATTAGTAAATATTAATATAGCTGTGATATAATTAAGTAGTCTATTCTGTCAGATTCATACTTATTCCACAAATACAGGCTGGCTTGTAACAGTTCATTACCACACTAGAGCAAAACAGGTTTGGAAAAACAAGTTGGCTCTTGGTTCCTTATTCTGAAAATTATATTGTAAAAGAAATGAAGGAATTAAATTCCTTAGGAGTTAATACTTATAGACATTTGATTCTGACTTAAATCACAAAGCATGGCTTATTTAAAACTGTCAAGAAAATATCTGTAATGGGAAAAATAACATGAATATATTATGATTCAGTAACGAAACAAACAGCTCAAAACAACATAAGACTCTAAAAATAGTACATACTCAAAATATATAGACCACATACTTACAAATGTTTCTCATAACAGGATTATCTGACTTTCCCTAATAATTCTAAAAACCATGAAACAATAAAGGTAATAAAAGATTGGGGCCAGAGCCTCAAATTTTCCTGTGAATCCCAAACTTTGCGACACTTGGTATAACCACGGTTTCTTTAAGAACTACTGATGAGTGACTCTAACCCTAGACAATCTGATTTAATTAGTATGAGATCTGATCGGGCATTGGGATTTTTTTTAAGTTCTCAGGTGACTAATGTGCAGCAAATATGGAAATCACTACTTTATTCTAATTATTTCAGATTTTAAAAACGGGGAACAAAAGTTATTATGAATGCCTTAGCTACCCCTTACCCTGCAGCAATATTAGTTCTGGAGATCCTCAAATCCTTGTGTTGCCCTGGGCTCATGGACCAATGTGTTGGTATAATCACTTCCCATTTACTTAGTACTTCATGAATTTTTGACTGAAAGTTCTCTAAATGATTTTTTTTTTCCTAGCTAGAACAAGGCAGGTAGTATCACACTGCCATTTGTGGCTGCACCCTGATAATGGTTTCATGAGACTAAAACATTCCAGTCATGCTGTTGCCCATGGCTGACAGCTGTCTTCAAAGCCAGGACAAGTAAAATCTTACTGAGGTAAATGCCAGAGGCCACTGCAACTAAGAGTAAAACCACCAAAGCACTGCTGAGTGACAACCAAGACTTGTCTGTTTACAGTGCAGAGCAGTTCTCACAAAAAAATCTTTTAAAGGGACCATCAGTCCAAAAAAATTAAAAGAGAGAGAGAGAGATAACAAAGGCAATGAATATTAAAATTTAAGTTTTAGTAGATACACATAGAGATGGCTAACAATAAAAAACAATACTACTTATATTAACAGGCACAAAATAATTTTGTGAAAGCATTCACATGTTATTCAATTATATCTCAAAACAGCATTTGGTGAGCTTCTTCTGAAGTAGGCAATTTGATTTTCATTTATAGAAAAGGAAACTAAAGTTCAGAAAGAGCTACCCAGCTATTCAGTGGAGGATCAGAATGATACAATCTTTTGGCTTCAAATGTCCATTCTAATTATAAATCTATATCTCCAACTCATGAAAGTCAATTAGATTTAAATATCCTCTGATAACCTCTAATGGAGTTTAACTTGTTTAGTGAAAATTTAGAATTTTGCAAGAAAAATGAAAAATAGACTAAAAGGATATAAAGCAACACCGGGAAAATGAATTGCTAATCTTATTTACTGGGACAGTGGTACAAATCCATAATCCAAGAAACAATGGTATTCATTTTCTTAATTATGAAATTAAATGGTAACTACACAAATGAGATCATGACTCTTTGATAATTATATTATCACTCATAAATGGTTAAAATGGCAGATCTCAAAAAACTGCTTATTTAAGTAGATCCATCAAAAGCATGTAATTCTGGGGCCTCCCTGGTAGCGCAGCGGTAGAGCGCTGGGTTGCGAAGCTGCCCGTCGGCCTCTGCGGCGCCGGTTCGATCCCCGGCTGCTCCCCGGCCACCAGAGGAGGGTCCCACATGGCGCGCAGACCTCTCCTGCCGCCCACTGCTCCCCTCAGTAGTGTGCTTCAGTCCTTCTGCCTGTTCTGCTCCCTGCTCTGGCTCTGGTGAATTCTCTCACCCTCCCGCGCTTCTGACTGTACCCAGTGCATGTATAAACAAAAAAAAAAAACAAACAAACAAACAAATAAATAAATAAAAACATGCCTCTATTAAAAAAAAATTAAAAAAAAAAAAAGCATGTAATTCTGGACAGAGCTAGAAAGAACAGAAACAATTCTCAGGAAAACTACACAATAGAGATAATTTTGTAACCCAAACAAACATCTGTTACATGATCTCATGTTTTATCATCTTTCCAACTTCTTCCTTTGTATAATTCTGAGACCCAATCCACCGACAGACACATTCATACTGATCTTTCTGCTCCTTAGGTCTGGAATGCTCTTGCCCACAAACTACATGGTTCACCACCTTACTTCTTTCTTTCATGTCAATATTCTCCATATTTCATATACCTTCTTCTCTACTTTATTTTTTTCTTAGCACTTAATTACTCTTTAGCCTAAAATTATTTATTTATCTGTCTATTGGATTTAAGTTCCAAGAAGGAGGGATTTTTGTCTGGTCACTACTATATATCCAGTACCTGAGAAAGTAGATGGTATATAGCATTTTTGCAAACAATAAATATTTGTTTAATGAGTTGAATGAATCTCTTATTATGAGATGAAATTATTATAATAAATAAAGGTGAAAAGACATGCAAAAGACATAAGAAAGGTAAGCTGAGAATGTCTTACTTGACTTAATAAGACGAAAAAATAATATACAGCTTATGCTAGTAAGAATTATTAGATGGCAGAAAAAAAACAGAAATGGGTTCTCTTTTTGGAAAAGTGAAATAGTACTTAAATGTAGGTTTGTAGAAATTTTTAGTAATATCCAAAAGATTTTTTTAATCTCTAGCTTTCTTATGTTTGTCAGAGAATAATATAAATATCCAAGAAAGAAGTTAATTTCCTTTTTATAAATCCCTTTTAAAATATATATTAGAAGATGCTTTAAGGGAATATAAGTACATTAGAAAATGTTTAAAAGCTCAGAACTTAAAAATCTATGCAAAAAGTGTCACATTGTTCTATAACTATAAAACAATACTTACATTTGACTTCAAATAATTCAAAAAGTTCACAAAAAAAGATCCAAAGGGAAACTTCTCAGAATATTTTATTTTTATAACCACTATTAATAGATAACCTCCTCTCCATATACAGAAATGAAGAGAGTTAAAAAATACTTTTAATAGACATTTCCAAACTGGCTCTCAAAGGCACTCAAATAATTTCTCCCTAAAAATTCCTTCTGGCTTAATGGGAAAAAAAGTGAAACAAATTGTAAATATTAAAAATGATCATGTTAAGTAGTGATTTTTCTCAAATGTAATTTTATAATCCTAAATATCTAATCCATTATAACATTCATGAAACTCTTTATCCTAACTTTTGCTCTTATATTTTAGAGTTGACCTATACAAATAGTGATAATTTTAAGAAAAAAACAACTTATTAGTTCATAGGATTTATACCACTCTATACACAGACTACTTTATGAGTTTAAAGGATTCTCATTATAACACAAAGCACTTACAAAATTATTGGCAAAAATAATAACATAAGATGAAGCTTTAAAAAATAATCTTAAATATCTACATCATAAAATATCTGATATTATGAAAAGTATTTTAGAGTAAACCTCAAAAGAAAATTCTTTACAACTATAAGGCATAAATATTTTAAATGTCATAGAATACCTGAATAACTTCATACCCTTTAATCTAGACATTTTATGTTTATAATTAATTTTATTCACTGGAAGAAAAATATCTATATTGATTAAGCTATTCATTGCAGTGTTATCTATAATAGCAAAAAATTAGAAACAAATTATCATAGTCAGGAAATGGTTAAGTAAATAATGGAATATCAACTAAGTGTGGTATTATGTAGCCATTAAAATAACTGGAATTATAGAAGAACTTGGAAATATATTCAACAAAGTTAAGTGAATAAAGGCAAAATAGTGAAAAAAAGTAAAGTGCAAATATGAAAAATACATACACACATGGAAAAAACCTATAAAACAATAACTCTTTAAATACTGGGAACATAAGTGAGCATATGTCCTACCCAGTTTACTATCATTTGTTATACTGTTTTTCAATAAAACAAGAAAAGAAGATACAAGTTGCTCACACTTTACCATATTCAATTAAATGACTTTCTACTTTTAATCTAGCCCCATTCAATAATGTCATTTTCATTGAAGAAACTGAAGCATGTTTAGATTCTGACTGTATGCTTTAAATAGTAGCATAATTTGCACAAATGGTGAACATACTGCCTCTTTTACATATTCATAAAAAAATTATAAAAGTTGTCACACTACTTTAAAAATGAAAATGATCACTGGTTTAGCTGGAAGTTTTCATCATTGTTCTTTTTTGACATGCTAGCTACTATCTTCCCTGAATAGGAAAACTAGCAACTGTTCTCATCATCGACCTTCAGTTTCACCAGGTATAACTTTGTTCTTTCTTCATTTTTGAATTTCCTCTATAGAGACCACAGAGAAAACTAGAACCAAATATATCAAAAGGAACTACTATTTTCACTTCAGTTTTATAGAAAGAATGAACAATGACATTTGTTTTACCCCTAACATATTTGGTTGGGTAAAAAAGTGACTCCTGCTTCCCATTCTAATGGTTACCTTTGAGGAAGGTGATAATCATTATCACTTTTTTTTTTTTTCCTTACACTGATTCTTGCCACTACAACCCTTCTAGGTAGGAGAAAAGTTACACAAAGAATCAAGAAATCAAATTAAAATATAATAAATTATACGAGAAAGGGAAAAACATTGAGAAGGCCACTGAAATTTTGCTTCCATTAAAATTGCTAAATAATAATATGAGGAAGTCAAGAAGGTATATGAAAACAAAGAACCTTGGAATAAAAATTAACTTCCAGAAAATGGAAACACCTAGAGTTGCATTAGTGCTTTGCCAGGAAGTCCTGAAGAATATGTTAAAGTCCTTATTAGTTGTTCTACTTCAATATGCTAGTTTACAACCAAAGAGTTAGTTGAAATCTGAAACATTAAGGAATATATGCTAATAATTGTGACTAGAAACCCAAAAAGTATGAATAATTTTAAAATGATCTTTCCTACGCTCCCCTCTATTGAAACAAAATTTACAAATCGTACAATTTTAAAATAAATTGTTGCTTAAATATAAGGGACACCACTTTCCTGTCTGTCATGATAAATAATAAATTGGGAGTTAAAGGAGATCCAAAGACTTTTTGATCCATGCCACATGATACTTTTTACTAAAATTGGAAATTATAGCACTGTAAATGTAGAGAAAAATGTGACAGAATCAGTAATCCTCCAATTTGAAGAGTTGTCTATTTCTTACCGTGTCTTTTCCACCTATGACCTCTTATTGACATGCTGGTTACTGCATTTCTTGAAATTCTAGAGGCAGTTGGTGTGATTTCAACTTGAATGCACCTTGTACCCTCCTTACTAGATTTCATGGCACCATGAGGCAATGAAGCCTTTATTGCATTAGCAACCTAAAGAGAAAACATATAGCTTAAAACTGAAAATTAACAGACATGCATACTCTTAGATAAAACAAGATGCTAATTTTAACGGGTTTTTTAAAAGATTACTTTCTCCAAGGCATTTCATAAGATAACACCTAAGTTCTCTAGAATATGGAGTAAGAGCTCAGAAGGAAACTTACATAATTAGTATAATGTCATTGAGTTCCAAAATATTTTAAAAAGAATTCCAAAATATAAACTTATATTTCTATTTTTTTTTTTTTTTTTTTAATAAATTTTATTGTTATATTCCCCATACAATTGCCGCCCCCCATTCTGACCCCAATCCCTCCCCTCCCGCCCCCGCCCCCCTAAAAGTGTCTCTGGTTCATAGTTTTTTGTTGATTTTTTCACTTTCTTATAGTTTTTCATTTTCCTGGTCCATTATTTAAGTTTTCTAGATTCCTGCTATGAGTGAGACCATCCGGTATTTTTCTTTTTCTTTTTGGCTTATTTCGCTGAGCATGATCCCTTCCAGCGCCATCCATGTTGCAGCAAATTGCATGTGTTTATCTTTTTTGAATGCTGAGTAATATTCCATGGTATATATGTACCACATCTTCTTGATCCAGTCATCTATTTTTGGGCATTTGGGTTGTTTCCAAAGCTTAGCTATTGTAAACAGTGCTGCTATAAACATAGGGGTGCAGGTGTTCTTTGGAATTGATGTTTCTGTGTCCTTTGGGTAAATACCTAGGAGTGGAATTGCTGGGTCATATGGAAGCTCTATGTTTAGTAGGTCCAGAAATCTCCACACAGCTTTCCACAGTGGTTGGACCAGTTTGCACTCCCACCAACAGTGCAGAAGAGTTCCTTTTTCTCCACACCCTCGCCAACATTTGTTGTTGCTAGTTTTTTTAATATGTGCCATTCTCACTGGTGTAAGATGGTATCTCATGGTAGTTTTGATTTGCATTTCCCTGATGACAAGTGATGTTGAACATTTTTTCATATGCCTGTTGGCCATTTGCATTTCCTCTTCAGAGAAGTTTCTTTTAAGCTCTTCTGCCCATTTTTTGACTGGATTATTTTCTTTGTTGTTGTTGAGTCTCATCAGCTCTTTGCAGATTTTTGTGATCAGTCCTTTATCATTAGTGTTGGGTGCAAAAATGTTCTCCCAGTTGGTGGGGTTTCTCTTTGTTTTTGTTATTGTCTCTTTTGCTGTGCAAAAGCTCTTTAATTTGATATAGTCCCAGCTGTTTATCTTTGCCTTCACTATCACTGCTTTGGGTGATGTGTCTGTAAAGATGTCTTTGATGTGCAAATCACGTAGTTAAACTTATATTTCTAAATGCCTAGTGCTAATTAATAAATGCAGCTCCAGCATGGTATAAAGAACATACAAAAAGTTATGTTTTTCAGGTATCTGGAAGTTAAACTAATGAAATTTTCAAATTTTGTTATATATACCTTTTCTAGTGTCAAATTTTCTAGTATAACAGAAGCATGAGTCACTGCATAGTAAAGACATACTAATGCACTATCAATGGCAACCTTTCAATTTCTAGTTCTTAATTGAGAAATTTTAAATTACAAAATTTATACAAACAAATAAGGCACCTACCAGTAATGGCTCTGGATATAATTCTAGCTGAGCTCTATATATGATATCATCCAATGCTTTTTGAGCTAGATCCCATTCTCCATTATAACTGTAAAATTAAATGAGTTAAATGAAGAAAGCACAATTACTGCTAATTAATTCTATATAATTAAAATATAAAAAGAAACTGCTTATGATTAGTGAGGAAATTAACAGATCATTTTAGCACTTTGCTTAGCTTCCTCCTTTCTTAAAAACATATTTTTAAATCTTTGAATTCCTTTCAATTGTATCTGGAAGACTATTAATAGCAAAGAAATTTTATACATGTACATTTCTTCTCTAAAGAACATGTCTATTTATAGAACAAAAAAAAAGCTAAGGCAATCTCAAAGCACTTTACATTTTCAAGGAAAGCAGAGCATAGTAAATTATATACCTTCGAATACTGTACAGAACACTTTATGGTCAAATTACTCTTTAACTCCCACAGTTTTTAATGAGAATCTACAACTAGTATGGCTTGTGGCATCCTAAATTGTTACTTCTTTGTATTTTGACAGTTATTTAGAACTACAAGGGATGTTTGTGGGAAATACCAGAGTGATACTGAGAGAAAAGGTGTGTGTGTGTATTAATTTACAAAGGTATGGTCAAACACTTCCTTAAAGTAAGCTAATGTTGAAAATGGACTGAGAAATAATGGCCTGATTATCTGCCAACAAAATAAAAAATGTGAATTACATCAAAATATCAAGTGAGCCCTCAAAACTGGAAAGAGCATTGTTCCTACCCGAAAAGCAAGATAGAGCCATGTAATGTACAAAATCATGGCTTTTCACAAATTTAGCAGAAGCTGAGGTCCCAGAGCACCCAAACAGCCTGAAATCTAAGGTTAGACTAGTGCCTCTAAAGAGACAGTACATCATGCAAGGGTCCAAAAGAATTCAGCTAAATGTTCTAATAAATTGCTAAAATGCAAACAGAGGGCTAATAATACAGTGCAGCATCACTGCGAGCAGATACAAACAGAGCTTGCAACCACTTACAAGTTCCTCTCCACAAACCTCCTTTGGCACCCACAAGAAAACTGGGGGCAAGGCAGGGGAACAGAAAAAGCTCCTCTTGTGAGGGCAGGCCTTTTAAATAAGAGTGGCCACTTGTGCAGAAAAGGCAAGAAGATCCAGCCAGATCCTTTTCTCATGTGAAACAAAAAGTTTTAAAGCTTCTAAAGAAAGAGCAGCAAACCATTCACCTTGAGGGCAGAGGTGAAGACTGAGTGGACTATTACTGTGAGGAAAAGAAAAAAAAATAAAATAAAAGACACTCTACCTATGGGAGACAATCAGGAAATTATCCCATACAGAGTCCACTAGAGGTCTTTTACCTTGGAACAGGACCACTGAGAAACTCACATCTCCACCCTTGCCTTCACACACCCCTTCCCCCTGAGGCAGGGACTTAGCACCTGCTCAGAACTGAGGAGGCTAGGCCAGCACAACAGAGAACACCACTCTCCCTCCTTCCAGTGCCCCTCCCGGCTACTGGCTCAACCAAGCTAGTACACATCTAGAAACAAGCACTCTCCTGTAACAGGAGGGGTGACAACATGGAGAGACTCTGGGTGCAGAAACATTGGGAAAGCCAGAAACTGAGGATGGAGAAAGAATATTGAGAAAAACCCTCCAGCAATCTAGCTCTTACCCTAAGTGCCAGGTAATAGGAGAGGAATTTGAAGTATGTGGTGCCCTGAAAGTAACAACAGAAACAAAAAAAATCCAACAAGACCCCTAGAAGAAAAGAGGCAGGCTTCTTTCCAGACATAAATAATAGTGACCTCAGTTGCGATTGATCAACCCATGAACAAAATACTGATCAATTAAATAGTTCAAGGTGTTCAAAATACAAAACCACCCACTGTCAAGAGGCAAAGAACAATACCAAATTCAGAATTTGTAGTTTACCAGGGAAATTAAAGAAACTGTGATATCATAATTACCAGGAAAATTAAAGGAACTGTGATTATCATATTAAAGGTTCTAGCAGAAAAGATGGGCAATGTGCAGGAAAGGTCAGAAATGAAACAGTAACAGAGATGAAGAACCCCTTCAGCAGACTCACTGGTAGAGTCAATACAGTCCAGGAAAAACAAGGAAAAAATCAGTGAATGTGAAGATAGAATAACAGAAATTACTTAATCTGATCACAAAGCAAAAAAGGGAGAAAATAGGAGCTCTCCATCATGCTGGGTCTCTCCAATGTATACAGGAGGTAGACATGGTATTATTAAACTTTTCGGGCCTCCCTGGTGGCGCAGCGGGTTGAGCGCAGCGCTGTGAAGCTGTCCACAGCCTCTGCAGCACGGGTTCGATTCTTGGCCTGCCAGGGAGATTCCCACATGGTGCAGCAGACCTCTCCTGCCTCGCCCGCTGTTCCCCTCAGCAGTGCTTTTGGTCCATCTGCCTGTTCTGCTCCCCATTTTGTCTCTGGTGAATCCTCTCACCCTCCCATGCCTCTGGCCTGTGCCCCAGCTCTTGTATAAATAAAAAATAAAAATCCAGAAAAAAAAAAAAACCAAAAAACTTCTCTATGGCTTTTTTTCTCTGATGAGAGAGAGAGAGAGAGAGAGAGAGAGAGAGAGAGAGAGAGAAAGAAAATAAAATACATCATAGCATCCAAGAACTGTGGGACAATATTAATGGTCTAACATAGGGATCAATAAAACTTTTTTAAAAAGCCCAAAAATAAGTATTATAGACTTGTGGGTCATATTCTCTACCACAACTTCTCTATCACTGTGGCACAAAAGTAGTCATACACAATATGTAAACAAATAGATGTGACTATAGTTCAATAAAACTTTACCAAAATAGGCCACAAGCCAGACATGGCCTAAAGATCATAAATTCTGTCTTTAGTCAGGAAGTTCATTTATAATCTACTAGGAGTATCTACTATTCAGTATCAACTGAATATAATGCCGTGTAGTAAGAGAATTGAAAGTAGTAGAAAAATACTAGTATCTGGCATTAAATAAAACCAAGTATCAATATTAGAAGTTAATACTTGACTCCTAATATATTGCTTCTTATCAAAAAGTCTCTAAGTTTTTTTAAGGGCAAAAATTTCTGGATATTGAAAAAAATTCATTGGGGTAAAATTTATTTGGAAATTATGTTAAAAAAGAGTAATGAAGAAAGTGACTTTGAGTATAACTAAATGTTACTTATTTTCATTCTGTACTTGAATTAAAGAAAGAGGATGAAGTATTTCAGTTGGTTACAAATTCTTCTATTAAAAGTATAATTTAAATAAAACTATTATCAAAATTTTGATTCATACTTTTGCAAAAATATGATTGTTGATTTTTTTCTGATGAGATTATAACACAGTAACAATAAAAACTGACTATCATTTCCACAGACATCTAGGTTTACTTCATATATGAAATAAACTTACAAAGCAAAATAAATCCCCGTTAACATTTGCACCATGAATCCTGAAGAAACTGGAATCCTACTATTTATACCTTTGTATTTTCTTATATGCTGTCGAGGGTATCCACAAACACAGATCCTAGAAAGATGAAAATAAATATATTTGTAAAATTGGTAAAAATTTAAGTAGTTTTTTTACTACCATGAGATACCATCTTACACCAGTGAGAATGGCACATATTAAAAAAACTAGCAACAACAAATGTTGGCGAGGGTGTGGAGAAAAAGGAACTCTCCTGCACTGCTGGTGGGAGTGCAAACTGGTCCAACCACTATGGAGAGCTGTGTGGAGATTTCTGGACCTACTAAACATAGAGCTTCCATATGATCCAGCAATTCCACTCCTAGATATTTACCCAAAGGACACAGAAACATCAATTCCAAAGAACACCTGCACCCCTATGTTTATGGCAGCACTGTTTACAATAGCTAAGCTTTGGAAACAGCCCAAATGCCCAAAAATAGATGACTGGATCAAGAAGATGTGGTACATATACACCATGGAATATTACTCAGCATTCAAAAAAGATAAACACATGCAATTTGCAGCAACATGGATGGTGCTGGAAGGGATCATGCTCAGAGAAATAAGCCAGAAAGAAAAAGAAAAATACTGGATGGTCTCACTCATAGCAGGAATCTAGAAAACTTAAATAAGGGACCAGGAAAATGAATAACTATAAGAAAGTGAAAATCAAAATCAACAAAAAACTATGAACCAGAGACACTTTTTGGGGGGTGGGGGGTGGGAGAGGAGGGATTGGGGTCAAAATGGGGGGGTTGCAATTGTATGGGGAATATAAAAATAAAATTTAAAAAATAAATAAATAAATTTTTAAAAAAAATTAAGTAGTTTTTTTAACATGTATAAGTCAACAAGGTACTTTGTTCTTTTAACAAATCTAATATCTATATGAAACCAAGACTCTTTCCAAGTAGAACATTTGCTTGCAACATTTACTAGAAACATATAAAACTAGAGGTATATTATTATATAGCAAGTGAATCAGATTCTCAGTTTGGTTCACCAAATTTTGTCTCTGTCATGTGAAGACATAGTGAGAAGGCAGTTACCTACAGGCCTGGAAAATCGTTTTACCAGGAATCAAAAACTGTCAGCACCTTGACCTTCGATTTCCCAGCCTATAGAATTGTGAGAAACAAATGCATACTGGCTCAGTCAGTTAATCTATGGTCTTTTATTACTGTAACCTCATCTGACTAAGACAGAAACTAAGACAAATTAGCTGTGCTTCAAATAAAACCAATTCAAATTTTGTTTGATGTTATAAAAAATGTACATCCAAACTAGAATAGAGATTCTTCTCTTATAACTTAAAGAAGCAAAGTTAGAAAAAAATTTCTTACACTTTACAGCTTTATGATAGGGAATATCATAAAGCTAGCCTTCCTTGCATTATGATCATGCAGCTTGTTCTAGACAATGGTCTATTAATAGAAGCAGCTGCATGCTGGTTCCTTGGTTGCAAGACAGAAAGCAGATGTAATAACAGTGGTCTATACACGCAAGGGTCACTTTCTACGGAATGGCAGAAATCCAAGAAAGAAGGAGCCTGAAGACTTTAGAAACAGCCAATCTACTCCCAGGCCATCAACCAACTTGGACAGAGTAAATAAACAAACATCCACTTGATTTGTAAGCATGACTTTTCTATGTTATTGGAGCCAAATCAATATTTAAACTGATACAGTATGCTCTTTTAATAATAGTACTCAAGATGGCCCCAGAGGAGTTTGTAGAAGCCACAGGCTGGCACAATCAGAGCGTTTTTGCTGGATTTTTTTTCACAGAGAAGCTGGGAGAGTTGTTTTTTCTTCTGAGTTCAGTAAAAGTAGACAGTGTAAACCTTCAGCTGCCTGTGGTCACTATTCTTACCACATGAAAGAAGTTTACCTTCAGAAAGAAAGTAAACACCAACCGATGAAGAATTGGGAGAGGATATCCTCATAACATTTGAGCCTCTGGATCTAACTGACCCTGAGGTCAGTTCCACCCCTGTTTTCCCAATGTACCAAAAGCCACAAAGTTTTCTCTTTGGTATAATCTATTTTTACATAGTCATGAGTCAGTTGCAATAGAAAGAGTTCTAACTTTGATAAGTTATCTATGGGATATAGTGACAGAGATGATTACTGCTCTGGCTATACAAATTTAAAAATGAAGAGAGAAGTATAGTGTTCAGGAAAGCAACTTTTTCCACAGCTCTTTCAAAGACAACTTTGCCATAGTTTTAAGATGGTCAATCAACTTTTTTTTAATGAAAAAAAATAAAATATCTTAAATTATACTTAATACATGTAAAAATGATACTATTTAGGACATATTGAATTCAAACTAAACTGACTTCATTTTCTTTTTCATATTTTTTAATGTAATGACTTAAGTATTTAAAATTTCTAAGAACTAAAGGGCAATTTTCTCAAATATCAAAATGCTTGAAAGAGTCAGTCAGGGGGATAAGATTCCAGATTCTCTCATTTTCTCTAATAGCTATCCATTTAAGAAATAAGCAATCATGAGGGGTGAAGGGGAGGGGGAGGGCTAAAGACAAAGAGGGAAGGAAGCACAATGGGCTATAGGGTAGATTATGGGTGATCTGGTGAGGGTGCACTACAGTGGCTATAGCTGATGGCAGGATACAAATATTACCTCAATGAAAAGAATTAATGATTTTTTTAAAATAAGCAATCATCTACTAGAGGCTGAACTAGAATCTTTATACAGAAATGCAAAGGATTAGAGTTAAGGCATTGGCTACTGTAACAAATACTGCAGACTGGGTAGTTGATAAACACAGAAATTCATTTTGAGCAATTTTGAAGTCTGGAAGTCTGAGGTGAGGGAACCAGTGTAGCTGGATGAGGGCTCTCTTTAAGGCTATAGTTTTTTTCATTAAACATGGCAGAAAGGGTAAGGAAACTCTGGGGGTCTCTTATATAAGAGCACTAATCCCATTCATGAGGGCTCTGCCCATGGTTCTAAGCATCTCCCAAAGACCTCACCTCCTAATACTGTCACACCCAGTATTGATTTCAACATATAAATTTGGGGAGGGAAGACACAACCATTCAGACCACAGCAATTAGTTTTTTGTAACTACTAAAACTTTACTCAAACTTTGGAAATTGACCACAGAAATTCTGCATATATCAATGAAAGATTTTAAAAAGTAAAACTAATTATTTCCTTTAATCATAAAGTAGCAGAGTTCATCTATCATTCTATTTATTCAACAAATAGTTAAGTTTCTATTGTATGCCAGTTATTTCCGTAAACTCTACAGACCAATGAAGAGAACATCAAAGCTCTTGACCTCATGAAGTTCCAGCAGTTGAAAGACTACACCAAATGAACAAACAAGGTAATTATAGTGTTAGAAGTGCTAAAAGGAAGTAAACTGAAGTGGGAAGGCACTATTTTTTAAAAGACAGTTATGAAGGTCTTTCCCACGAGCTAACACTTGAGCTGAGACCCAATCTAATCTTGTTCAGCTGTATCATTAAACTGAGAATGATATCACTACCCTCATTTCTTCATTCCATTCTTTAAAAACTTAAAAATTCTGTGATTTACTCTTTAGTTCTTGATCTCTCTATTTAAGGATATTATTTTCTCATAGATTCTTCACTAAATTTAAATTAAATTCAGAGGGAAACAAAAACAATCATTAACATTACATGCTACATGAATACCTGACTCCTCTGTTCATCAGAAGAGTATCCTGGAAGTTATCTGATTTCCCTTTATAAATCCCACACAAAAGAGTAACTAAGGTAGCTGAGATGGCATAACTCCAATTTTTGTATTAATTTACTCAACAGAAAATACGTATGTATTTCATAAACCACATTGAAGCAAAAATCCTTTTAGAAGACATATTTTGTTGGTGTGTATATTGGAAAGCTCTGAGTATCAATTTTTAAGTGAGGAAACTCTTGCCATGATTCTGATTATCTGTTGAGAGACAGTGTCACATTCTTACACTGAAATGTAAACTCTTGGAATTGTTATCAATATATTCTAAGTTACAAGTCACACTAATTATTTTGTAATACTATCATCAGACCAGTGAGTAGAAATAGCCTGAAAAAGAGGATTATTCTTCTAGCTTTTCATTTGGGAAATATTAAAATTTGGTCTAGTTCTATTTCCTATGCACTTGGGTAAAAGAGAGGAATGTGAAATAAAACTCACCAATTTCAAAACCTCTTTCTTTTCTGCTCTGTTTTTTAAGTAGTGAGGAAGGTAGAAAAGTCAGGAGAGTAGAAAAGGGGGAAGTAAGGGAGGAAATAGAAAATGGAAGAATGCTACGTAGAAATAGCGCTAGAAACGAGCATTTTTCTGTTCTCAAACCCCTGCTCTTTAAAAATCCTAATAAAAGCTCCATCTTGTATCAGTTTCCTTCAGAGACAAGCACACACAAAAATAATGCTCACATAGTTGGAGAAAAGATTATTTTAATTGGGTTGCAGAAGAGTGACAAGATTTTGATAGGCAAAATGTTTACAAATAGAATAGTAAGCAATGAAAAGTCAACTGTGGGTTCTTTCAACAAGGGATAGCCTAGGATAAGATACACTCTAGACCTGCTGGTAAGATAATAGCACACAGGTAAGAAGAAAAAGTTGTTGTGCATCCATAGTGAACATGTATCTTCATCACTAGAGTACCGTATACAATAGCTACCATTTTGGGGTGATAACAATACACAGGAACAAATAGATTGATCAAGAATTCATAGCAGTGCATATCCAAGTCAGATAGCTAGCTGAGTCACCAGGTGAACAAAATCAGGAGAGTCCCTTATACAATGGGAGAGAATTTAACTTACCATTTTAGTACAGTTTTAGCTTAAATATTTGCATTTCACTTTAAAACCAGATGATCAAAAAAAGAATGGGTACATTTGTCACTTAATCTACCACAGATAGTCAATGAAATCTTTCTGGTAAAGATATATATATATATAGGCTTTACAGTATGGTTTAAGTTCCACAGGTAAAAACTGTTGCATCAATTTATTCCTTAAACAAAGTGTTTATTCTTACACTCATTATATAACGTCCACAACACGATGCAGATACCCCATCCACTCTAGATTGTTTTGAATTTTATAGATCCGTGAAATTCAAAACTTGGGGCATCTCTGCCTTAAAAGAATTAAAACAAGAAACATATTACAAAGATTTAGTAAGTGGAGGAAAAAGAAAATTGGTACCACCTTCCAAGGTCTAGGAAATGTAAGTAAGTATTTTCAAATACAGGAATCATCGGAAGACTCTCCACTTCTCTTCCTTTTTTCTCAAGCCCTTTGCCTTGCTATCTCCCTTCTCCCTCTAGTCCTGTGCAATTTTTTAATTTATTCAATATCAGTTTTTGCTGTTTTACTTTGCTTTGATTTGATTTCTAGTATTGCTCTTCTTCTGACTAAATTTCCCTGGTTGTATTTTCTGAATCAATACCCTAAATCTAAATTACTCTACAAGTTCTTTATTTCTATATTTTCCCTAATTTACTTGAATTATCAAAAGCATTTTCTCTATGACTTTTTTTTTTCATTTTGCTTTTCTTTCTAAAGATAAAATATTCATATAGGAAATCTAGGGAATGACAGAACATCAACATGAGAAAATTTTAAATTAGTTATAAGTTCATCAATTAGAAATAAATACTGTTAATATTCTGATCATATCCAGCCAATGTTAGAATCATATCATATATACTATCATTAAATAGTCTTTAAAATCAGAATTTTTAAATGCTGCATAGCATACTAAAGGACTACCATAATTTAGTCAGTCCTTTGGCTCAATTTTTTTCAACAACAAAAGCTTAAAAACCATTATCTCTTACGATTTCTTGGTACCTAATTAGAGCACAGTAAAAGTAAATAATAAAAGGTAAAGAAAATATAAGCTAATCACATACTAAAAATTGAAATCATATAGTTCTATCCTTTTATATATATATTATGACCCTTTTCTAATTAAATAATCCATTGAATTATATTTAGCTTTACACTCTGTCATGTTTTTGTGGATATCATTTACAGGGAGCTTTCTAGGTATTGAGTAGGCTGAACTTAATATTAACTCATTTAATATTTTAAACAAATAATTAAACAAAACAAAAATAACTTAGGAATCCTAGGTTCATATGTTTCAATATTAAAAACATTTGAATTTTAATTTACCTTGAACAAATTTGACACAGCGATTGAAGAGAAACACTGGGCATATAGGTTAAGGCAGCATTGTAACACAACAAAAGGAATGTCAACACTTCAAACCTAAAGACAAACCAAAAGAATATTTATAAATCTTTAAAATTCTAATTAGTCAACCATAATTAAGCAGGCATTGAGGAGAGGTATTATGTTATGGAACAGACCTGTACAGTATAATCATACAATAACAAAACTAAACTAAAAAGAAAAAGTAACAGTCACAAAAATCATCTTTAAAATGCAATGATCAGCCCTCCCTGGTGGCACAGGGGTTAAAGTCTCAGTGTTATCAAGCTATCTAAAGCCCCTGCAGCAAGAGTTCAATCCCCAGCCAGGGAGCTAACCAAGGTGGTGCAGCAGTGTATTTCAGTAGATCAGCCTGTTTTGCTCCCCACTCTGTCTCTGGTGAATCCTCTCACCCCCTGTACCTTTGGCCTACACCCCAGTTCTTGTATGCATAAATAAAAATAAATCTTTAAAAAAAAATTCAATGATCTACAGCAACATGGACGGAGTGGAAAGGGATTATGCTTATGTAAAATAAGTCAACAGGAAAAAGAAAAATATCTCATGGTTTCACTTATAGGAGGAACCTAGGGAAACCATACAAGGGATTAGAAAAAAAAAGACAAAACTAGCAGTCAAACTATAAATTGGAGATATTTATGAGGGGAGGGAGAGGGAACAAGAAAGAGATCAAAGTGAGAGACAAGAGCACAAGAGTCTATGGTAATGGTTCACAGGTGCCTAGGTGGTGGTAATTTTATGGGGGCAACACCTGAGAGGAGAAATCAAACATTGTACAAAAAAATTAATCATGTAAAATGATGTAAAAATATATAAATAAAAAAATTCAATGACCTAGATTACATCTGAAGCAAACAAAGTGACAAATTGAGATATGTTTTTCTCTTATATGAAATGACTCAATATTTTAAAAAATTCTTACACACAATTCATTAAACATTATTTATAAATCTACTGAAATAATTTTGTTAACTCGGTGTGGTAAGATCTCTACAGTATACCTATTCTGTGCTGTCAGCATCTCTCTTTGGGGGTGAGGTCCACTGTACACGACCTTTGATAAACCATGCTGGGATAGTGCACTCTCCGTCAGAGCCATGGACCCAATGCTGGAAGGCTAAAGAAAAGACAGTTAAATGAAGGAGGAAAGTCATTCTGTCAAAAATAGAATGTATACACCACAAAGAATGAAGATCAAATGTCTTAAAAGTATTCAGACTGCTTACTAAATTTTCTATTTAAACAAAGAACAAGTTAACAAGTAACTAAAAACCATACCACCAATAGAAAAAAAAAACAGTTTAACTTCAAAAGTTCTACTATGTTTATACATAATTGCCACACACACAAAAATAGACTAGTTTTCTTCTGATTATATAAAAAAAGTATTTCAAAATGAATACCTTCAATAGATCTCTTATTATCAAATTTTAAAATTTAATGATTTTGATTTCTCATTTCATTTGGGGAATAGTAAATACTTTGTGTGGTATTTATACTTTTTAAGGTACAAAATAAACTGATTTATTTTGCCTCAATAACCAGACCCTAATTTATAGCAAATTCAAAACTTAGAACCAATAAACTTACTTTGATAAAATGTTACTTACTTCATGATATACAGATGGTTTGGATAAAGATGGAATTGTAAAGCACAATACTTTGCTATGTCCCTGTTTGTCAACTATTTCCTACAAAAGTGAAAAAAGATCTTAAAATATTTAATTTTGTACACATACTTTAAAAGTTAACTTAAAATTGTTAGTTTAAAAAGAACTAAGAAATGAATCTTAAAGTCAACTAAAAATTTAAACTATGACTTTAAATTACCAACTATTAAATATTACTTTTAAAATATAAGTAACATATAGTTTTAAGGATGGCTGAAAAGTACCCAAGGATTATCATAATTTATTTACCCAATCCTTTGGCTCAATCTTTTTTAAACAAGGAATGTTTAAAAACCAGCATCTCTTGTGTCTTAATAATCATTGATATTTCTCAGATTAATAAGTTATAATTTCTGTACTAATTAACACAGTTATAAAATACGTAAATAGAAGGTCATTAAATTTCTTTTTATATTTTAAGAAGTACAAACATCAAGTATCTAGAATACCATACTAATTCATATAAACACTACTAATGCAAACTATGTATTAAATCAGTGTTGTAAACTCCAAGATGGTTCAAATTTTATAGAATTACTGGTAAATTTTAAGCGAGTTCTTTTCTCCTAAAATTTTAGTGAAGATGCTACATAGACAATGTTTTTAAATTTAAAACTTTAAAATTCAACACATTTTCAGATATCTCTATAAGAGAACTGAAATGATATGATTTCCAGTCCAGTCAATTCAAAATGCACATTTACATAATTATATGTATACTTTATATAGCCCTCAACCACCATAAAGTTATTTTTTGGAGAATGAGCTATGAGTAATTCGATGTATGAAAAACAAGTATTAGTTTTACTAAAATGAAAAATAGTTGCTATTATATATTTGTTTTTGCTGAAAAACATTTTGTTAACTACATAAAATACAAACCAAATTATAAACCCCTAGAAGAAGAGCTTCAATGCATCCACTGCTATGAACATTTCTGCTGGCTGAGACGGCAAGGTAGCACCAAATCAGTTCTGGGAGAAACTGCAGCGTAAATCGAAGTAACTGCTCCTCTCCACTGCGATAGAACTCAAAGAGCTGGTGACAGACAGGTTCTAGCAACTGAAAAAAAAAGACGAAATGTTAATTTAAGGACTAAAATGTTTTGAATGATATTGATACATGAAATACAAAAGGTCTTCCCTGATTGGTAATTACTAAAATAAATAAATGTTTCCATCTTATTAAAAACAAAACTATTCATGGGTAAGCAATGTAATACAACTTTCAACTCTGGTGGAAGGTCAGACAGTGCAGAAGAAATGTATATGAAAGCACTTTGAAAACTTTATAATATTCTTTAAATCTAAGGTAGTATTGTTATTAAAATTGTATCTTTATAACTTCTTAAATTAACTAACTAGGTTGTAAGAAGTTTCTTCCTAAATATTCTTTTTTCCTGATAAAATATACCAAGTATTGGCTACAAGACTGCAGAAATTGAAATGGGAATCAATCCTAGGTAGTTGCTGTCATATCTTTCCCTCCTGATGTGATACACAGCATCAGACAGCCATAACTGGTGTGTGGGGTAGTTGAATAATTATTGAACCCCTAGATTTAGACCCCTATTATAACCATAGTTAATTGCCCATTGGTAATCTAAATATTGCTGTCATTTTGTTTTAAGCATGATTTGGACTTATCTATAACTTTCTTCTCCCATCACACCCCCAACATTATCCAGTCAATAGAGTTGGCTGTATCTTTATAATGGGCATTTTTTAAAATCAGACAGGCAATAAAAGAGACTCTTAAAAGTATTATCTTAAAGCATACACAACGATCACAAGTCATAATCCCATGTCAAGAGAGTCACAGACTACTGATTTTTCAAACCATCAAGGTATTATATTTTCAATTCATTCATTTCACTAACTTTGGCAAAAGATTTAAGTCAATGTATTAAACAGATAATTTACTAATAATTGTAATGAATATAACCTAATTTATAGCAGATGTTTTGATTTCAAATAAATTAAATATATAAAATAAACTGAGTATAATTAAAATCAGTATTATTTATAAGAGGTATAGAAAAAGTTATACTTCAGTGAACATTGAATAAGTGAGACTAATCTTTCTGATTGAAAAATTATCTAATTTCTGACATTAAGAAATACTTGTCTAGGGCCTCCCTGGTGGTGCAGTGGCTGAGCACTGGGTTGCGAAGCTGCCCGCAGCCTCTGCAGCGCCGGTTCAATCCCCGGCTGCTCCCCGGCCACCAGAGGAGGGTCCCACATGGCACGCAGACCTCTCCTGCAGCCCACTGCTCCCCTCAGCAGTGTACTTTGTCAGTCTGCCTGCTCTGCTCTCCCCTCTGGCTCTGGTGAATTCTCTCACCCTCCTGTGCTTCTGACTATACCCAGTGCTTGTATAAATAAATAAATAAATAAATCTTTAAAAAAAGAAAGAAAGAAAGAAATACTTGTCTACTTTCAAAATGGAAAATTTTGAAATATTTTATTAGAAGGCAACAAATGTCTACTATCACCCTTGAAATTAACTGGAAACTGGAGGATCAGGAGGGAAAGTAAGCTCCTTCATAAAGAGCAAGAAAAGTTTTTAGGGCAGGAATTTAGAGGAATGGAGCTGGAGGTGGTATGAAGAAAGACTAGTAGGGGACTATTTAGCTTTCAGGGTGGAGTTCATACACCTGGGAAAACTGATAAAATCAACTGATATGTGTCTAGCAAGTATTTGCAAAATTATGAAGCCTATGTTGAAAGTGTATTCAATAACCTGCATGGACACATAACTTTACCTAAAATACCCTCAAAAAGGCCTTATGATACATCTAAAATCCAAAATTGAAAAGGTTTTGCTTTATGAAAGCAGAACCAAATGAATACAAACTTCAAGGGAATGCCTTATCCATACTTAGTGCATATAGAAATTAAACAAAGAAGCTATCTACCATGACCAAAATCACACAGCTCACAACTTTCAGCCATGGCTGTTGACCCTTTACAAAAGAAAAAAATGATAATGTTGGAAAAACAATGTTGGACCTAAATAACTTAAATACATTTGAGATAACAAATGGGGCATTAGAACATGCTGTGTTTCTAGTGTTTGGGTTGAATTTTTAAATGTCTTTTCTTATAGAAATACTGTCATATTTGATGGTTAGGTTTTACAATACCATTAAGAAAGAACTGCACCTCAAGTATATTTTCATGTGAACCATCAAGATACCTTTTTCTCCATTCTAAAACACATTCTCAATTCTAAAAAAAACTAAATTACAGGCAAGCTTTTATAATAATCCATTCATAAGTAAGAAGTCTGTATCCTAAGAGAGATTTCTAATGTTAAAAGGATTGACATTTAAATGCCTATAAATGACTAAGGCAGAGATAGAAGACAGGAAACAGCTAAAGTTGAATACATTTGCAAGAAAACATTGCAAATTTTTTTTGCATTGAACAATTACAGAGGAATACAGGTAGGAAAAAGACACAGTAAAGTTGGAAGGACACTAATATTCAGGTGTCAGTAGCCACTGAATGGACTTCTCATTCTGGGTTCCCTCTGTGTATAACACCAAAAAGACCTTCTTTGACTCTTTCAAAACACCTGTTTTCATAACAGTCTTGTACATTATTAGCTTCTAATCATATGTCTATCTTAAAATTAGGGATTTTTTTTAATATAAAATAGTCCATCACACAAATAGTTTGAGAAATACTGCTCTGAACTAGTAGAGCTGTATTTAATGGCAGATATTCTAAGTATATCACAATCTGCCACACAAACTCCATTCAAAGAGCTTAGTTAAAATACACTCCAAAAAAGTAATAATTTTTAGTTCTATTAAAATACTAAGCAGTAAAAAATATAAACAATATTTAATTTGTTTTAAAAATAATAAAGCACATAGCTATACTTACTCTATTTGGTGAAGTAATTCTCAATCAAATATGGAGAACTTCAAACTGGCTTCCACACAAATATTTAAAAAGTAAAACCCTTAAAGAAAACACGCTATCTATACATACTACACAAATTTAGAAGTTTCCATTCCCAGTAAGGCACTGCCCTCATTCAGGTTCTCAACAGTTCCTTCCTAGGCTATTGTCACAGTCTCCTAGTCTTCTTTCAATTTTTCCATTCTCCAACCTATGTTCCACATAGCCACCTTCCTAAAACAATAATCTGATCAACTCACCCCTTTACTGTAAAAAAAAAAAAAAATGTCTGAAAAGCTTATGATGGAATTCCAGGCCCACCATGGTTACAACTTAAACCTATCCTCCCAGCTTCAGTTCCTAACATTCTTATCCTCTCTTGGTAACAACTGCATTAGACTATCAGCTTTTTCCCCCAAATGCCATGCTTTTTTTATTTTCTATACTATTTCTAAGCCTCTTCTTTCTATTGCCTAACTTTTCAAATAGCTCATAATGGGCACACAAATATGTGCTGCATGAATAAATGCAGTGACCCACACTGTTCTAGGCTCCTCTAACAAAATAGACAGGTGGGTGGGTGGATGGATGATTGATTGATAGATAAGATAGATAGATAATAGATAGAAAAAAGAGGAAGAACTATTTCAAGATGGCTTTTAGAATATGGAAATAATTCTATTTTTGGCCTACGTGATAGTGTTATAGGACAGGGAGAGGGGCCCCCTTTCCTCGGGACCACCCTGTTACAATAGCACCCTGGAGTTCATTTTATTATAGTTTTTAAACAGATACATTTTCATACTCTTTCACATATGCTATATTTCATTATTTAAAAAACATTAAAATTAACTGACTCAATAGTACTAGCACAATAAAGTAAGAGTACTTACCTCACTTTGAGGCTCCTGGATAACTTTATAGAGAGAAGAAACTAAAGAATTCTTGTCTTTCAAATTTGTGGCATAATTTGATAAAGATGTTTCCGGTAGTGTCTAAACAAATTTCAAAAATACATTATGAAATATTGTGATAAGCAAATCAATACAGGTGGGAAAGTAGATTGATTGTTGCTAGAGACTGGGGGATAAGGGAAATTGGGAATGTTTAAGAAGTCTGCAGTTTCTTTTCAGGGTGATGGAAATGTCCTGGAATTTAGTTGCTGATTTTAGTTATACAACATGGTGAAAATATTAAAAACCATTGCATTATCACCTTAAATCAGTGAATTTTATGTTATATGAATTATATCTCAATAATAAAATTGTAAACATAAAAAATATATCTTGTCATCAAAAGGAACACAAATTAACATCAACAGCTCATCTTTGATCTAGGGGTTAGAAATGAGAATATGAATTATGTGTAAAGCCAAAGATGTATTTTTAATAGCATCATATAAATTACAAATCTCATTATCTATATTGATCCTGCTTCTTGATAAAGTTATTATATAAGAATCTGAAAATGCTTGAAACCTAAAAGGTCACAAATCATCTGATAACTCCTGAGTTACATATTGAGATTGTTAAGTTAGGTAAGGCTGCTCTGTTACAGAACTGTGGGACATTTTTAGACTTCTCAGAATTAGCGAAAAAGAGAGCCACACCACCAAAACCCGAGTTTTTTTTCTAGTGCCATTTAAAATATTGACAACTAGGCCTCCCCTGGTGGCGCAGCGGTTGAGCGCTGGGCTGCAAAGCTGCCCATAGCCTCTGCAGCATCGGTTTGATTCCCAGCCACCGGCGAGGGTCCCACATAGCGTGCAGACCTCTCCTGCTGTGTCTGCTGCTCCCCTCAGCAGTGTATTTCGTCAGTCTGCCTGTTCTGTTCCCCGCTCTGGCTCTGGTGAATTCTCTCACTCCACCCCACGCTTCTGACTGTACCCAGTGCTTGTATAAATAAATAAATAAATCTTTTAATAAAATAAAATAAAATACTGACAACTAATCACAGCTTGCCAGCATCAACCATCCAAAAAAGATACCATAGCCAGAGAGGAAGGGGGCGAGATAGAAGGTCAAAAATAAGTCAACTGGTTTTGAGTACAAGTAAGTCTGGAAAGGACAAAAACAAAGCACTACCATTACAAGTGATAAAATCCTATCCTTCTAGAGTATAACTCTCAAGCAAATTACTCCTTTAATTAATCAACAAATATTAATCCTGAAGCAGATATATCCTAAAATATTCTGATTCTATTCTTAGTTGTTCCATATCCTAGTATTTTCATGATTTAAAATATAGGTGCAGGAGTATGCATAAACAGACATAGAAAATGAAACAGCATATATTTTTATATTAAGAATATTTGATTCATTTTTACTTCACTGTGAGTTCCTTGAGGGCAAGAACTACCTTATCATCTCTCCACAGCATTCACCACAAGGCCTCATACCAAAACCTTTGCTGAAGGAACTTATCATAGAACAGAATAAGAAATAAACACTGTCACTATTTATACTTAAGTAGATTCTTTAAAAATAGGTCACATTTTACCTTAGGATATATAAGTAAATAGATTTTTTTTTTCTAAGAGAGTTTTGTTTACCAGAATGGTTAGTAAACGTGATCTGGAACCTCCCACCATTCTTTAGAGGTAGGGAGGGGAAATATTTTCAATTCAACCACTTACATAAAGAGGAGATTAGAGCATTCTTCAATATTTCAAAAGCATTGTAACAAAAGATCTCCAGGCAACATTCCATTTCCATTATTTGATCAAGAGTAACATAACACTGAAGGAATTTATATAAAAGGTAATAAAAGTCAAATATAGAGCTGATTTCTAATCCCCTGAATGGAAATAAACCTGATTGTCCGTGCAAAACACAATATATGTGTGCCCAACTATTAAATTTTAAACAAATGAACAGAAATATAATTCTTTTTAAAATTATTAGTGAATAAAAGGATTATTATAATATCCCATATACTATCTAGGTTAAAACTGAAACACTCAAAAATATTACAATTTTCAGTTTATATACCTATTTCCAATTAACCCTCCTAAAGTAAAATATTTTCAGCCCTAGACAAAAGGATAGCTCTTTTCTGAAAGACAAGGTCTAGAAAATACCTGGACCTAGGTGACTGTTGCTAAATAAGAGAAAGGGTCCAAAAAATTAGTGTAATGAACAATTAGATTTTACCACAGTTCTGTTAGTATTTTATTCTGTGAGTGTAGAGAAAGTTACTTTTGCCTAAAGATGGGGAGAAAATAAAATTGTTGTATATATGAAAATAGTGGTCAGGAAAACCTAAGATCCAAAAATGTCTAACATCAGTTACATTTTCTAGCACTAAGCTTTCTCACTTTTCAGAAGGCAAAACTGAAGAACAAAAAGCAAGTAGTAATGGGAAAGTATGTTGGGAAATTAGTCTTGGCAAAATTTGAAAAAGACAGATGCTTCATACAAAAGTATCATTTGGACAGATGGTTCTTTTTAAATGTAAGGAGATGATATGGGTTGGGTGGAAAAGAATTAATGAAGATGGACAGATGGGTGGAGAACCAATAAATAAAATAACTCTGTTCAACTTTACACATAAGGCTGAACTTTGAGTCATATATTGATATTCAGTGACTACCAGAAAACTGAAAAAATTAGGAGTCTGGAAATCTGCCAGTAAATCTACACATAATATTAAGAAAAACATAATACAATGTGAAAATATTTTACAAGTAAATCCTTAAACTAGTCACAAAATCACAAAACAATGAAGTCCCATTCTAATCGCTTTGTTTGTATATAAACAGATTCAGTGAGGGTCTACAGCCAGCAGAAGTATCGTGATGATATCAAAGGGTTTCTGACTTCACAGCCCAAAGTACTTTGTACCACTTTCAGTCATGATGACCTTGATTTCATTAAGCCCATAGCTATTAAATTTAACAACCAAAGCAATTAAACAACAGGCTTTTCTAAATATATAAATACCTACAAACTTCCTTCCTTGAATATTTTAATGCAATTTAACATCATTAGTCATTTCAAAGGACAAGATACTCTAAATTAAAAAGTACTGACAGATTTGTTCTCAAGCACTTTTTTATCTTCCATTACCTCTAGTATGCTGCTGATTTTGCCCAACAACCTTAATCTCTTTCTCAAACTAACAGTAGAATTCAGCATATACCAATACAACTCAGAATACTGCTCAAAATAATTTGGGGCCTCCCTGTTGGCACAAGGGGTTAAGTCTCAGCACTATCTAGCTATTGGCAGTCACTGCAGCACAGGCTTGATTCCCCAGTGGGACTAGCCCACATCGTGCAGCAGATTTCTCCTGTCTCACCAGCTACTTTCCTCAGCAGTGTATTATAGTAGATCTGCCTGTTCTGTTCCCCACTCTGTCTCTCGTGAATACTCTCACCCCCCACACCTCTGGCCTGTACCCCAGCTCTCGTATGCATGAATAAATAAAATCAATCTTTAAAAAAAATAATTTTTAGAAACATCTACCAAATTAAAAAAGGAAAGGGAAATACCTTACCTTTAACTACCTATAATATAGTCTTGACAATAATTTGAAACATTTCTTAAATTAAGTTGATTTAAAATTGGGCAAATTTAATTGAGGAAATAGAGAAAAATTAAATTACTTTCATTTCATGAGACACATGATTTCACACCCCTCCTCTCAATGGAAAAAGTTCCTTACCCCTGAATTAAATTTATTAAAAAATAATGAAGTATTACTACCAGAAAATAATGTTCTATTGGTTAAATAACAATTGGAAATATATTTTGTCTCTTCAAATCCTAATGTTTTTTAGTGGAAGATGCTTTTTAGAAAACAAAATGTTTGGAGTACTAATTGGGACAGGTATGCTATTGTTTCTTGGCCCTCAGTGAACAAAGCTAAGAAATGTCTGTGTATATATGCGTGGACATATATATATATATATATTCAGTTACATGAGTTCATAATGATTTTTCTGATCTCAGTGCAACACATCTCAGGGTTCTTTCTTGTCTTTTTTCATTCCATGTTTACAATTTCTTTCTGAGACACAGAAACCAAACTCTCGTTATGCTCCATATATTTATTTATTTGTTCAATGTACTCCACTCCACCAATAAAGCCATTCTGGCTGACTGGTTTTACATGCCAGTTCTGCAAGCCTTCACCCTAACCACCCTCTTTGCCAGAGACCAGGGCACACTGCTACCCTACCCTTCATCACTCATTGACATATTTCCTTTGGATGTCTGCGTATCCAAGTCAGGAGTGGGAAGAAAAGAGACAAAAAGAGGAGAAGGGAAGGGAATCAATTACAATTTTCAATTATTTTCCTTCATAGTTGATCCCTATGCCCCACCTTGTTATATGTCCTTTTTTTATAACTCCCATATTAAAGAATGAAGATTTAATAATAATTGCTTTTTAAAATTGACTTCTCCATTAAACTCAGGAATGCCCTAGAAAAGTGGCATTCTAGCTGTTAAACTTGAAAATTTCCATCAACCTGCTCCCCAAAAAATCAACATAAAATTAACCATATTAAACACTCTTGAAGTAGCAAAAGGCTTAAAAAACACTTTGAATACTTATTCACAAAGACAACATGTGTAGGGGGGAAAAATCATAAACAAGATATAATCAAACTATTATAAAATATAGAAGGCACTATACACTGTGCACTTTTATAATAGTCTACATCATCCTATGAAGACTTATAAGATCCACAAAAGGATACTCAAGTGGTAACTATAAAAGTTGAGGAAATAAAATCTGCCTAGTCATTCTCCAGGATAAGATGATAATAATAGATAAGGCCAGCTGAAAAATTAACAGGAATCATTGCTTCTCCCAAGGACACATTGCAGATGAAAAGTGTCTTAATAGCCTCCTTTCTTGAGTGACTACCATATTCCTACTCACTAAAAAGTCTCATCTAAAATCACAGATATCAAAAACTCTGATATTTAAAAACATATTAGAAAAAGTGAAACATCCCCCTCTTATCTGGAAAATCAAAGTCACTTTGACAGAGAAGTAGCCTTAATTTCAGTGATGGTACAAAGCCTAAGCTAAAGAGGTTCTGAACACAATCTTCCACACAGATGTCCAATTTGTAGCTTCTAAGATGACAGACCCTTGGTCCATTTCACAGTCCAAAACATATTTTTATGCCATTACGTACAGCTCTATTTTGTTTTGAGCCCATAAAAATCACACTTCATTTAAATTTCATCTAAATCCCCTCCACTCCAAATCCTCTAATATAATTTTGTATTTCTCTTTGATGAGCTGTCCCCATGGTTCCTCTTGTGTAGATTTCCTCACTAAAATAAGTCAATAAGTCTGACTTTTGTCAGACTATTCATTGGTCCCTGAAGGTCTTGGCTGACTGGGCTCGACAAAATCAAAATGCAATAGAAACCCAAACCCTCCCTTCCTGTGGTTCACGATGATGAAGTTCACAAAATGATGTGTAACAATGAGTGCCAGAGGACAAGGAGAAGGCGATTAGTGGTTAAAAAAACATAATTTTAACTATCACAGTGAAGATTCATGAGACAAGGAACAGAAATTTGATTTGCTTTGTCAATTAACCAAATGTTACAAACATAACTTTTTTGTCATCTTTTTAAAAAGTCAATGGAATTCAAGCCCCGGAAAAAATACATTGGAATATAATTATTAAATCAAAATAGTAAATTTTACCTTAAACTCAGACAACCACTCCTCCACAACCCCTTTCTCTGAAGTGAACATCTTTCCACATCTGTTCTAAACCTTCAACCTGAAAATAAACATAGAAAATATTAAAAATTTCTTTATGTTGAAATGACCATGGATAGAGTTAATCTTACAAAAAATATATAGCTACTTCTTATTTGTGAAATTGAAGCAGTTTCAAACATAAATTACTGGGTTCATATCAAAAGCGAGTACACAAACAAGTGCAAAAATGAAAGAATTTTGACAAAAGTATAAATATAGCATGATGAAATTCACTCTACAATTTTCATTCAGCTTTCAGAAATGTTAACTGTAGAACATACTGGACATTTTTCTCTAGTTTCAATTAAATAATTCCAAGAAATCATGCATCTTAAGGAACTTGCGGGAAACGTTTTAAAACATTTAAATGTTTTACATGTTTTAAAACTGTGAAAATACAAAAATCATCCACAACTGACTTTATAGAAAACATTAAAGTAACATAATTCTTTCATATTTCAGTTATTTACAACAGTAACTAGATAAGCCACTGGGTTCCATGAAGCTTAATACTCCTAAAACAAAAGTAAAAGTGGCAATATACAAAGTAATGACTATGTTCAACAAGTTATTCAGATTGGGTTATACTTAAGTATAAATTAAATTTAAAAAGTAAATCACTGTATATCTTTGTGATCAGTCCCTTATCAGTTGAATGGAGTGCAAAGATTTTTTTTCCCAATTAGAGGGGTGTCTCTCTGTTTTGGTTAATGTCTCTTTTGCTAAACAGAAGCTTTTCAGTTTGATGTAATCCCATGTGTTCATCTTTTCCTTGACTATCTTTGCTTTGGGTGACGAGTCTTTAAAGATGTTATTGTGATATATGTCTTGTAGTGTTTTACCTATATTTTCTTCTATATATTTTATGGTTTCAGGTCTTATGTCCAGTTCTCTTATCCATTTTGAGTTGATTTTTGTGCATGGTGAGAGGTAGTGGTCTAGTTTCATTTTTTTGCAATATGGTGGTCCAGTTTTTCCAGCACCATTTATTGAACAAACTTTCCATGTTCCATTGCATGTTCTTGCTCCTTTGTCAAAGACAAGCTGTCCACATAACTATGGTTTTATTTCTGGGCTCTCTATTCGGTTCCATTGGTCTATGTGTCTGTCTGTGTTCCAATATCAAACTGTTTTAATTATTATGGCTTTGTAGTATAGCTTTAAGTTTGGAAGTGTGATGCCTCCTTTCTCCTTTGTTTTCATCAGTAGGGCTTTGACTATTGGTGGTTTTTGTGTTTCCATATGAATTTCATTAGTATTTGTTCTATTTCTTTGAAGAATGTCACTGAGATTTTTATTGGAATACAACTCGCAAAAACAAAATAAACAACCCAGTCCAGAAATGGGCAGAACTTAAAAGACATTTCTCCAAAGAAGAAATGCAAATGGCCAACAGGCATATGAGAAAATGTTCAACATCCCTTATAATCAGGGAAATGCAAATCAAAGCCACATTGAAATACCACCTTACACCAGTAAGAATGGCACATATCAAAAAAACAAGCAACAAAAAATGTGGGTTTTTTTTAAAGATTTATTTGTTTATTTATACAAGAACCGGGGTATAGGCCAGATACGCAGGAGGGTGAGAAGATTCACCAGAGACAGAGCAGGGAACAGAACAGGCAGACTCACGAAATACACTGCTGAGGGGAGCAGCGGGCGAGACAGAAGAGGTCTGCTCGCCATGTGGGTTGCTCCGAGGCCAGAGGGGATGGAATGGGCACTGCAGAGGCTGCAGACAGTTTCACAGTGCCTGCGCCACCAGGGGACCCCCCCATAACAACAAATGTTAGTGAGGATGTGGTGAAAAAGGAACTCTCCTACTTTGCTGGTGGGAGTGCAAACTGGTCCAACCACTATGGAAAGATGTCTATAGGTTCCTCAGTCTACTGAAAATGAAGCTACCATATGACCTGGCAATTCCACTCCTAGGGAATCTACCCAAAGGACACAAACACATTAATTCAAAAGACCACCTGTATCCCTATGTTTATTGCAGCACTATTTACAATAGGTAAAACCTAGAAACAACCCAAATGCCCCAAAATAGATGAATGGATCAGGAAGATGTGATATATATATACAATGGAATATTATTCAGCAATCAAAAAAGATAAACTCATGCCATTCACAGCAACATGGATGGAGCTAGAAGGAATTATGCTGAGTAAAATAAGTCAGAAGGAAAAAGAAAAATATTGGATGGTTTCACTTATAGCAGGAATATAGGGAACCAAATAAAACATTGGTGTAAGAAAATAGTAACAATACAAAACACAACAAAGAAAAACAGACAATTATAAATCAGAGACATACAGCAGGGGAGGAGGCGGGAGAGGGATCAGAGGGAGGGAGAGAGGAGCATAAGGGACTGAGGTGATGGTGCACAGATGCATTGGTGAAGGAAATTCTATGGGGACTACACCTGAGGGGGTGTAGGGGGAAGCAAATATTGTTTAAAAATGAACAATGATGTAAAAAAATTTAATTAAAATTAAAAAAAAAAGTAGGGCCTCCCTGGTGGTGCAAGGGGTTAAGATGCAACCTATGAAGCTATTCCACTGCAACATGAGTGCAATCCCCGGTGGCCGGGGAGCAGCCGGGGATCGAACCGTCGCTGCAGAGGCTGCGGGCAGCTTCGCAACCCAGCGCTCAACCGCTGCGCCACTGCAGAGGCCCTCAAATTATATTCTTAGCCTTATTTTCTTGAATAAATGCCTGAGATGAAACTGTTTGCATTTCCAGTGATTTACTTTTTTAAAAAATATTTATTTATGCATGCATACAAGAACTAGGGTACAGGCTAGAGGTGTGGGGGGTGAGAGGATTCACCAGAGACAGAGTGGGGAACAGAACAGGCAGACTGACTGAAATACACTGCTGAGGGGAGCAGCAGGCGAGACAGGAGAGGTCTGCTGTGCCATATGGGTAGCTCCCTGGCCGGGGATTGCACTCATGTTGCAGTGGAATAGCTTCATAGGTTGCATCTTAACCCCTTGCACCACCAGGGAGGCCCTACTTTTTTTTTTAATTTTAATTAAATTTTTTTACATCATTGTTCATTTTTAAACAATATTTGCTTCCCCCTACCCCCTCAGGTGTAGTCCCCATAGAATTTCCTTCACCAATGCATCTGTGCACCATCACCTCAGTCCCTTATGCTCCTCTCTCCCTCCCTCTGATCCCTCTCCCGCCTCCTCCCCTGCTGTATGTCTCTGATTTATAATTGTCTGTTTTTCTTTGTTGTGTTTTGTATTGTTACTATTTTCTTACACCAATGTTTTATTTGGTTCCCTATATTCCCAGAGCGGGGAGCAGAGCAGGCAGAAGGACCGAAGTACACTGCTGAGGGGAGCAGTGGGCGGCAGGAAAGGTTTGCGCACCATGTGGGACCCTCCTCCGGTGGCCGGGGAGCAGCTGGGGATTGAACCGTCGCTGCAGAGGCTGCGGGCAGCTTCGCAACCCAGCGCTCAACCGCTGCGCCACTGCAGAGGCCCTCAAATTATATTCTTAGCCTTATTTTCTTTCTGCCTGGATCTACTTATTTTTATCTTGCTATACAAATAAATGAAGGAAAGTAAATATAAATGTACATCAGCTTTCTTTTGTACTTAACCATTGTTTACTAAATTAGGACGGAAAGTTATCACAAACAGAACCATGATACTTCAAATTATAGGGAATTGGAGAGGTAAAACTTATTAAAATTAAAAATCACTCTCTAGTTAAGATTATTTTCGTAAAGGTTAAAAGCAATCAAGAGAAACGTGCAAAGGATCAAGAATAGGCAAGGCAATCTTAAAGAACAATAGAACTGAAAGATTTGGATTTCTAAATAGCAAGGCCTATTATAAAACATAAAAAAAAAAAAAAACCCACAGCAATTAAGTCAGTGCGGTATTATCACAAGGAAACCAAAAAAACCAATGGAACAAAACAGAGCAGCCAGAAACAGATCAACACATACATGGTCACCTGATGCATGGCAACAATGACACTGCAATTCATAAAGGGTAGTCTTTTTTTTAAACAAGATTTATTTATTTATGCATACAAGAACTGGGGTACAGGCCAGAGGTGCAGGGGGTGAGAGGATTCACCAGAGACAGAGGAGGGAACAGAACAGGCAGATCTACTGAAATATATAGCTGAGGGGAGCAGCAGGCGAGACAGCAAATGTCCTAGTCATCACCTATTATGTAGTGTCTGGAAAGTATATACTCATGAGAAAATGAATAAAGGGGGCAAATAAAGTCCTAGTATTAATTTTTAAATGGTACTATTATTTTATTGATGTAAAATTGGTTTACAATATTGTATATGTCTTAGGGGTACAAAATTACACCTCTTAAATGTAGGTTACCATACCACATTCACCACCAAACACCAATAATATTCCACCATAGTCCACTGGGCCCTCCTCCCCCTTTGTCCTCTACCCCACTCTCCCCTTCTGGTAACCTCGGATTTATGGGTATGTTTTGGTTTCATTTTGTCACTTCCTTTGTTTTGTTTCTTTACCTTCCTCACATGAGTGAAATCATCTAGTATTTGTCTTTCCCCCGACATTTTGTTAAGCAAAGTCCCCACATACCCCTCCTTCACTTCCAAAGTCCTGATATTATTATAAAAATAGTTTTGAGCTTGCAGACTACATGAAAGAATCTTGGGGACTCCAAAGAAGTCCCCAGATGACAGTGCCCCAGCTTTCATCCTCATTCACTCTGACCTCTCCACTGTCTCTTCAGCGTACCGTTAGCTGTACTCAAACTCCAAAACCTTCTGACCATACCAGGACATATTGTTACCTCCCCACTTCAAATTCTCTCCTTACCTATTTCTTGCTTTTTACCACAAAGAGCAACAATAGAAAAAAAAAATTTGTTTACATTATCCCTGGGATCCAAGATAAGTAATAGTTATGACTAAAGGTACACAAAAGACTAGGTAGGGAAAGAAGTAAAGTGACCACAAAATGGAAACAGTGAGTTAAAAACTGTTTCTGTCTGCCAGCAC